AATGTATATAAGGTTTTCTTTAAGATTTAAGTTTCATAAGTTCCTTTCTTAAAGAAACTTAGAGAAAAGTTAGAAAGAGAAACTATGAATGAAATCCTTCTTCCTTCTTTCTAGTTCCGAAAGCGTAGGAGATTGTAGTTGAGATTTTGGATGAAGATTTAAGGCATTTGAGCTAAAAATCAAATGTTGGAATTTTCGTGCAAAGCTTTTGGTGACAGCTCAGGGTTCTTTTTCTTTTTTCTTCTTCTTCTTCTTCTTCCTCATTTCTCTTTGATTTAGAGGTAAAGGAAGTTAGAATTCTAATTCTTGTTGAATTTGGAAGTTTCATGTGGGTTATTTTCATTAAATTTGTGGTTGTATGGTTGATTTGTAAGTTGAAGTGAGCATGTTGTGCATTTGGAGCTTTCTTGAGTATGTTGGAGAAAATTGGTGATTTTGAGAATATGATGTTGAACGTTGTTTTTTGGATTGGATTCGAGTTGTGTATGGTGCTTATGAATGTTTTAGTATATTGCATGTTGGAGTCTCTAAGTTTCAAGTGTGAACAAGCCAAATTTATGAATCTGTTAAGTGCAGATTTCACCATCGTATTGAGCACAACTTTAAGGCACTGAGCATGACATAGGCATAGGCTCTCTGCCTCACTCTTATTGGGCACAAGATTAGTAGCATCGAGCGTAAGTTAGAAGGGAATTCTCTAACTTAAATCACGTCGGACATGGGTTAAATGATGTCACGCGTAGATGTCATTGGAACTCTCTAACTTGGTGACATTGGGCTCCAATTGAGTAGCGTCAAGTTTAATCGAGACAGAAACTTTTTGCCTAGATGACATCAAGTGTCAATTCAACGACGTTGGATGTAAGTCAAGCAGAGGTCTACCTAAAATGAGGCTAGACATGGATTTTTGCCGCATTAGGTATGAAAACAACAAGGACTATCCACCTCATCCATGTTGGATGTAGGTTTGAGTGACACCGGATATGGACAAGCCCGAGAGCTCTTTATCTCAATGACGTTGAGCGCGAGGAGAATGGTGTCAAGCGTGGATTACTTTATGAAAATATGTTTTTTTCTCACCCCAAGTGTTGAACATGTATAGGTTAATTAGATCTATTACATGTTGATGTTGTTGTATGTTGCTAGTTCTTTATAAATTGTTATGAGATATTATATATTGATGATTAAATTATTGGAATACTAAGGCAATGGTGTTGAAAGTGCTTAAGACATTAGGTTTTGTTGTGTTGATTGACTTAGGACTAGATAAGAGAGTGTTATAGAAAGTTGGATATATCATTGTGATGATATTGATATGGTGCTTTATGAACCTAGTTGTTGAAAATCCTTTTTGAGTAATTGACTATTGAAGTAGATAGTTGAGTCTCCTTTAAGACTTTAGTTGATGCGATATGTAGACAAGGTTAAGGCATATCGTCTATAAGTGACCACAATATAAGAACTAGGTCAAACTATATCGATTATAAGTGACCAATGTTGATTCGTATGGGAGTCAGGTCAAATCATACATATATAAAGTGATCAAATCGAGTAAGGTATGAGATCGAGGTCAAAATCCCTAACTAAGTATTAGAAAGGGTGTGATATTTAAAGGGTAATCAGTGGGCTAATCAAATATGAGGCTTAGTTATCTATGCTAACGTCATGGTAGACTGTTAAGTCTCAATTATACTGTTTTTTAGATAGAACTTATTGAACAATTCCACTCATCTCATGCACTATTGCAAGATAATTGTTCTCTTTTTTATTCAATTTTTGTGCAGATATAGCTAACCCAATCTCATCTAACAATGCCTTGATTCACCTCATTTTTTTTTTGTGCAGGTATTGAGTGAAGAGTTGAAAGTTGAAAACCCATTGGATTGGAAATTAAAGGAGCTAAGGAGCAGGAGAAGAGTACCTGCGCCGGGCGCAAGACTACCCGTGCCAGGCTTGAGCAAAATAGAGAGTCACACTCTCTGCAATTCATAACTACGCCGGGCGCAAGAAGATGTACCGGGCGTGCTCGAGACAGAGAACAACTCAAACTCTCTGGAAGACATCGCGCCCGGCTTAAAAGTAATTGCATCGGGCGCGTCTTGAGACAGAGAGTAACTAAACTCTATGGAAGGCCCTACGCCGGGTGCAAAGCATAATGTGCCGAGCATGGTAACCCTAACCTAACTCACCCAGCTTGTATTTGATCAAGACTTCAAGGATTTCTTCCTCATTCATACATTGGGCGACTTCTAGGAGCTAAGGAAGGGATTCCCGGTGCTTGAGACTGTTCGTGTGTGGGTCTTTCCTTTAGTTCTTCCATCTCTCTTCCATCTCTATTTTTGTTTCACCCTCATTGTTTTGAGCGGTTCTACCTATTATTTTGTGGGGTTAGATGTAACCAACGATACTCTTATGTAATCCTTACGTTTTTAATGATATATATACATGTTGTTTCATTCATTGTTGTGTATGTTTCTATTCTTAATGCTTGCTTTGGATTGATTCTCCTTTGCTTGATATAGAGTCCATTGGGTATTGGAAAATAGCCTTTTGAACTAGCTCTGAAACAAATACCTAGTGGGAAATGTATCTAAGAATGGAGTTTGGCCCATTAGTAGTCTTAAACCTTAACCCGTAATGCAGGTGTATGTATTGGGTACTCAAGGAATTGATATTCATTACTTGCACCTAGGCTCTTGCTCTAAGGGATTATGTTTGAGTAAACTTATGGGTTGATTAAACAATGAATGTAACAAGAGAACAAAGATTTATTAGTGTGACGTTTGGTGATATCTGATCCCACAATCTTACAAAATCACAATACCATTTTTATCCCTTTCACACACACACAATTAATTTTATAGTTTTAACATTCCATAGGAACCTTTATTTAAATTGCATGACAATCTATGAAAATGGAATTATTCTTTAGTCATGAATAGTCAATAAATGTTTATTTTACCTACTAGTCCCTCTGGATACGATATAAATTTACTACTTGTACGGCTGGTACACTTGCCGTATTTAAGTCCGTTGAGAGAATTAAAATGATTTACAATAATAACAAAAGTAGTTTCAATGGAAATCTCAACATAGACTCACACCCAAGTTGTTTTACCTTCACAAAAATACTAGACTTTCCTAGTTTAAGTGGCAAAATTCGAGAAACCATGTTATTATGGATTTTTATCCAATTTAGTTGTTGATATAATAGGTGTAAAAAGATCCTGTTGTTGGTTCGGTAGGGTCAAATCACTTAGACTACTCACCTGCATTGCAAAAGATCTTTTAGTTGAATGCGTGATACCGCATGTAGTTGAGGTGTCATGCATATGATGGTGTTGATTGTGGTGTTGTTCATATGCTATGTGAATTTTTTGTTGAATGACATATTGTGGTGTAAGTTGAAACAATTGTAAGGGGATTAAGTTGTTTACCTTTTAAGGTTGTTGAATGTTATGTTGAGGTGTTATTGTTGTGTTGTTAAGTTGTAAGCCATGAGGTATTGTGTTGTTTGGTTTACATTATGATGTTGGTAGTATAAATGCATTTACTTTTATACTTGTTATATTCTTTTGAATACTAGCTAATTACCCTTATATGTTTGCTTGTGTTGAACTGGGATAATCATATTTAATATGGGAGCAGGGTAGAGATAAGATGGAGGCAGAAGTTGACTTGAGAGCCATATTGAGTTATAGTGTAGCTTGGTGCTACTTTTGTAAATCCTTTTGTAGAGTTGTTTGGCCGACACCCTAAGTTACATCTTTACT